ATGCAGTTCCGGATGCTGAAATCTCCCGTGTTCATTTGTAGGGTGGGGACAGTGTGGGACAGGGTCGCATGGGCTGATCGCTGCCGGGCTCCTTTCCTCCACCCCCCCGAGGGTCTCCGTGGGACCCCGGGCTGGGGCTCGGTGCCTGCGTTGGAGGAGGGGACCCGGTGGGACAGTGCTGGTGGGTTATTGCCACGCCTGCCCTCCCAGCCCGGTGGCAGGGATGCCGGGTGGGTCGTGGATGCGATGTGTGGCTTCCACCAGATGGAGCTGTGAGATGCCACCGGGGACTCTAGGGGTCCCCAGGACCAGACCGAGCCCCCCCGCCGAGCCCAGCCACTGCGTGGGAGCGGGCGGCCGGGGGCCGCGGTTTTAGTCCGGGGTGCCGGACATCCTTGCACGCACCTGGATGCGGCACAACGCGGGTGACGGAGCGGGCAGCAGCGCAAGAATTTTTTTTTTCCCCAAGGATCCCAGGTTCCCACGCCAGGTCACCTCCCCGGGGTTGTCACCCTCGGCCGTGGCGTGGCGGCGGAGCTGGAGGAGGCGGGGGGCTGCGTGCCCGTGGCATGCTGCTGGGAATCATCGCGCAGCAGGAAAGGTCGCATCCTGCCAGGGTGCAAGGAGGGATTGGGGGGGGGCAGGCCCCGTGCAAAGGCCCAGTCCTGGCTGCCAAGCGGGCTGTGGGCAGACCCCGCTGTGTTTCAGGCACGGCTTAGTTAACGGCGCTGTCAAAACTCCATCTTTTGCTGAAAATAACTGTTGGCCGGTGGCCGCGGGGTGGGTTCTGCCCTGCTGCGGAGCGGGGCTGGCTCGGCAGAGCTGGCAGGTAGGACGGGGGGGGGGAGGAACGAGCTGCGGGGAGCCCCGTGCGAGGTGGGACACGTGCAGGCAAGCAGAGAGCGCTGGACGGGTCCCCCCCAGCAGCACTGGGGTCACACCCTGCTCCCACCTGCCTGGCGGGGGGGGGACGGTGGTGGCAGGGGGTCCCTTTGCCAGAGATCTGGCTGTCCCCTGCGCGGGAGGACACCGCACATCGGCAGGCCCAGGCTGTGATTCAACAGGTCCGTTTCATCTCTCTCAGATCTTTTGCCTTTTTTTTTTTTTTTTTTTTTTTTTTTTTTTTTCTTCTTTAATCCACTTGCCTCATTGACTTTATTTTACAATCCATCTCTGGGTTCACTGAAGAGCACTTTGGTCATTAAGCACGTTGGGGCATGTGAATAAACCTGCATCTCTAAACTGGAAATGGCTTTAAAGCCGGTATCAAATCGCTGGCTGGGATGCGAAGGGCACGGCACGACCCTGCGTGTCCCTCCTGCCGCCACTCACCCCCGTCCTCCCCCACCTCCACATTTCGGAAGTTTGGAAGGGGTAAGGCCAACCAGGGTGGGCAGGGTTGAAGCCCCATCCTTCTGCAGGTCCCTTAAGGTGCCCAGGTCCCCGTTCCCCTCGCAGGGGTCTGGGGCCGGGCCGAGCCTCGCCTGGCTGTGCGTGCAGGGACAACTCAACGAGGTGCTAAGGCGGCTGCGCCGGGACCGGTTCCCGCAAACAGGCTCTAGCTCCCTAGCTGCATTTTTCTAAATCCAGCCCTTCGGATGGGAAGCGTTCTGACAGTAAAAGTGGAATTGGGGCATGTCTGAGCAGGGCGAGGGGTCCGAGGGAGGGACACCCGGGAGAGGGAGCAGCAGGGAGGTATGAGCGCTGAGCGAGCCATTACGTGAGCGCTGCCAGAATCGTTTCCCTGCCTTTTGGTTTCCTTTCCTGTTTGGCTTTGCTGCCCACACAGTTTGTGCTTGAGCTGTCTGTAGACGCGATGCTCCCATCCTCCATAGCCAAAAGTCCCTTTTCGATTCCTGCGCTTTGCTGTGCTCCTTGCAAGCACGTGTTTGGGGCAGGAGGCAGATCCCCATCTCCAAATGCACAGATGCTCATCGTTCTTGCTGCAATGCGAACCCAGTGCCGCCTCCTCTTTTTGCCCTGGGTGGATGCACTTTTCTTTCCGGGCTGCTGCTGAGCATGGAGGCAGCTTGTGCCCTTGTTCCAGCACCTGATATATCCCCCCCTGTTCTCCTGGGGTGTTGCGATGGGCTCAGGGAGAGGACAACAATAACACGGGGGCTGGTGTCCAGGAGGCACTGGTGGCCTCGGGGCTCGCAGTGTGTGGCCTGGCTGTGCTGCTGCTGCTGGTCCTCCCGGGGCCGGAGCGGTCCAGGGCGCGGGGAAGCAGACGATGCCTCGCTGGGGAGCATGGGCTTTGTGGGAGGCAGCCGGCCCAGGGAAAAAATAAATTGCACCTGGGATATTCCTCTCTGTGTGTAGGTTTAGTGCTGGGGGATGTGCAGATGGTGGGGAAGGAGGGAGGTTTGTCCTGAGCGGGGTTTGTTCAGGTCACTAGGGTCTGGGGAGGGCGGTCCTTCATCGGGGGTGTCTCCGGGACAAAACTAAGTGCTGTGGCGTGTGGTTAAACTGGGGCACCCCCACGGCGTTGAACCCGCCTGGGCTCCATTTCCCCGCCTGAAGGGTGACAACGACCAACGTCCCTAATCCCCGCAGTAAGGCCGTGCTAACAAACACCCCTGACGCGGGCAGGAGGATGCCCCACGGCAGCCCCCGTGCCCGGTGCTCCCAGCCTTGCACCTGCGTGGTGGTTCCCACCCCGCTGCCGTGCTCCGGCTGCATCCCGGCCCCGGGAGGGACCGAAGGGCTTCGCCGGGGTGGAGAGCATCAGGAAGCGCCTTTGATCTCCGGCCGCTAACACGTTTTCAAATAAGCCGCAAAAATGACTGCCCTCCTTCCCTCCCCGCTCCTGCCAGGGCGGGGAGATAACGCATCAGAGCTGCGATATCGCTGCTTTATGGAGCTTTGATTGCTACCAGCCACGCAGCTCACTCAAGGGAACTTCAAAAGCAGCGCGCTGGACCTGCAACGCCTTGTGCAAAGAGTCCCGAGCCGGGCTTTCCGCACACACACGTCCATGTACACACACACGCCCAGGGCTCCTCGACTAAGGTTTTTTTGCCCTGTCACATCTTCGTGCCGCCAGCCGGTAGATTTTGGTAGACCTTCGGGGTCCGCTCAGGTGGTTTGGAAGCTGGATGTGGTGGGGTTGGACCCTGCGGAGCTTCTCGGTGGGCGGCGGGTGCTTCTGGGGTGGCACCGCCCTGCCCTGTCCCAGAGCTCGCTGTGCAGTTGTCCCCAGAGCCTGGGCGTTTGGGGTTAGTGCCTTGCAAACCCCAGGGGTGCTGGCGAGGCAGGGAGACGCTCGGAGCAGGAGGGAGGATTTGCAGCCGCTCTCGGCGCGTTCGCCAGCAGCGTGGGAGTTAACAGGCGAAGTTGGGGGAAAGAGGAGGAAAAGGGTTCGGACCTCCTCCACTCCCCCCTGCCGTCCCCCTTGGCTGCTGTGATTTCATTGAGGCTGTGTATTGGCCTCCTGAGGATGGAGCTGGGTAACACCACAACATAAACAGAACATCTGGAAGCTCTTAAAGGGTTTTATTTTTTAACACATTTACAAGAGCCAGGGACACTTGCGCACAGCATTTTGCAAACTCGGAGAGGCTGCGCTCTTTCTTTCCCAAAAAGCCCAAAGCTGATTGTCAGGCTTTCCCCTGGGAAGGGGCACGGGAGCTGGTTTATACCTCCACACGGTATCACTGAGGGTGTGATAACTTGGCTTGGAGGTGCCAATCTTGCTTGCATATTCCTTGTGAAGTCCAAAGCAAACAGATGATAAGTGTGGCACGATAAATGAGTATAAATCTCTACCCTTCTTTCTGTGTGCCCCTAGTTAATGCTGGAGCAGGACGGGGAGTCAGGCAGGGTTTGCTTGGCAGAAAAGCTGTTTAGTGATCTTATGGAGTGAACAGGGTGAGAATCAAAGAGGAGAGCAAATGATTAATCTCCCCAAATGGGCCAAGAGCTTGTCTGAGCCAAATGGGAGCTAGTTGTGCCACGCTTAACGGTGGAGTTTGGATCCTGCAGTATGTTGCAGCTCATTTGAGAGCTTGCAGATGAGGAGCCCACAGACAGAAAGAGATAGATGAGATCCATTCCCACTCTGGTGACAGTGTTTGCTCTCAGACTGTGTTTTCCTCTCCCCATTTCCCTCCAGACGTTTGTGGCAGCTTGGGAAAAGGCGCCCCTTTCTGCTGGCTTCTCTGGGGCCGCCCAGGACATCAGTGAGGACACGGGGATGGGCACGGGGCGGCTGCAACCTCCCTGGTAAGCAGAGGAGGTAGAGCTGAGGCCAAGCTGCCCGTTCCTCCCGTGGGGAGCACTCCCCCCCCGGGCAATCCTTGGTGCTAGCACGGCGGTCGCCCCACGTCCCAGCTCGGCGCTGGGATGTTTAATCAGCGACTTGCCCATCCCTTGGACCGCGTAACGCAGCCCACGAGCTGCTCTCCCTCCCTCTGCGTTCCCAGATGCCGTTGTTTTATCCGCCGCACGGAAATGGCCGTTTCATTTTCTTCCATCAGCCCCCGGCTATGTCTCTTATCCACCCTCGCGCTATCCCGCACCCTGATCTGATGTCTCCTGGTCCCGGGGGAGCCCAGCCTTGGGGCTCCTGCTGCTTTTGGGGTCTTTGGAGCGACGTGGCTCAGTAACGCTGGTTTTCCCAGGGAGGTTGGCGGCACATCCTCCGCTCTCGACACCCGAATGGCGGCGCGGGCGGCTCAGCCGGCACCGAGAGGCGCTGTGGATGGAGAGCTCCTCCCCGCCTGCTTAGACGCGGACTCTGCAGCTGCAACGGGTCCCCGCCGGCCCCAACACTTGGGAAGGGCTTCATCCTCCAAAGCATGGGGCCCTCGGTGAGCTCGAAGGCACCTAAAAGCTGCTTTTAGGGGAGATGCTGGGGCTTGCTGGTGCACGCATCTCCTCTTTTACACATAGCTCCAAACATTGAATTTGGTGACAAAGAGGAATCGCAATTTGCTTCGTCACAACCAGCTGCCTACCAGCTTGGACCTTGCTTTAACGCTGTGTTTTTTCCTTCACAGGGTCCGTGGTGAAGGCTCAGGGTGCGGGGACCTGAGAGGAGACAGCCAAGGCGCTGCAGCACTTGATCGTGACCAAAACACCCAGGAGCAGCCTCCCGGGGACGGGCACTTCAGCTGCGAGGATGCAGAGAGGGACAGCAGGGACCAGCAGCTCGCCTTCAGCTCGCCGGGGAGCGACGGAGCACGAGGGGCTGCGGTGAGCTCTCCTCCACCCAACGCCCACTGCCAAAACCAGCTTCCCCACCAGTTGCCCCTGTATACTTGCTGGGCTCCACCACGTCCCCAGCCCGGCGAGGGGGGTTTCCTCCCGGCTCTGACCTCGCTCCTGACTCCCACACGGAGCCAAAAAGACTTAATTAGCTGCTCTCTGCTGGGCTTTGGAAATTATCCTCTTGGCTGGGAAGTGCTGGTGATGGATGGCGAAGTGCTCTTGGGTCAAACAGTAGCTCGATGCTTTTCCCTGTGGAGGACCAAGTGCTTGCCCGGTTCCAAGGAATCAGCTGTGGATTTTTTTCCTTTTTTACCCCTCTACTCTTCTTTTCGATGCCTTTTGGGGTCTTGGGCTTTTCGTGAGGACGGCTGGACCCAGCCTGAAGCACGTGGCATTCGCAAAGTGCCGATGCGCACAGTGGGAGCTGGAGGGGCGAAAGCCTTCGGAGGAGCCTTGGGGTGGAAGCTGAGTTGGTGATCGCAGTGCCCGGGGGTTTAAAACTGTCTGGCAGAGTCTCATTTTGTGCCGGGGGTGTTGGGTGGCCTCCGGGGGGGGGGGGGGTCCTCCTGCCGCAGTTGGCTGAGCACCCTTGGCCCCGGCACATCCCACGTGGAGCCCAGCGCAGGAGCGGGGGATGCCAAACCGCAGCGAGGGGAATGTCAAGACAGGGGGAAAATGTCACCCTCAGAAACAATTAAACTTCTTAATAAAACCCGTTGCCTCTGTGAGTGCTCGATGTTCTTTTCCGTTTGCCTTGGCTCAGCCACACTTACATCATGGCCCTATCGCGGGGCTGCTGAGGGGGATGCGTTTGATTGTACAGGAAACCAGCGCTTTGGCAAACTTCTCTGCCCTAACGAAGCCAGGCCAAGAGTTTAATGCCTTTGCTTTGCAGGAAAATTCTCCCCTGTCCTTTCCCCCTTCCCTTTCTGCAACCCTTAACCAACACCACCCGACTGCATGGCCGGGCGAGCCACCCCTAGCATGCCTCCTGCTCCAAAAGTGACTGAAATGCAAATTAATTTCCCTTAAATCGTGTTGTTTCATGTCCCTGGACTGTGTGTTCCTTCCCACCCTGTAGACTTGATGCGAAGCACCAGAAGGTGCCATGTGCAAATACAACATAAAAAGGATATTTATGTAATGGAAATATCCTTTTACTATTTTTTTTTTTTTTTAAGATTTAGACCATTATATAAAAAAGTGTCCTTTCATCTGGAAAGCACAGTAGCCTCATGGGCTTGTATTCAATATAGCTGTGTTTAGTGTGCAGCCACGGTGACTATGTCAAACTCACTGCTGTAACTGGTAGGATCTCTGCGTAGCTTTGACTTAATTTCTCTGCACAGTGAGTCCCCCACTGGGACAAACTTACAGAAACCTGGTCAGAAAACACAGAATTTTGGGTCCTTTCCTTTGAAATCCATTACACAGCTCAGGAGCACTGCGGAGAGTTTACGAACCGTGCTGTGCCCTTGGGCAAAACTGTCAGAGAGCAGCAAAGCCCAGAAACGCATGGAACTTCACTTGATTTTTGGTTTGGTAGTGACGGGTTTTGGAAGACCCTAACGAAGCCAATGCCAAGCTCATTTGCATCGGTGAAATGACCCCGGAGGCGCGGGTGAGGAGGGGGTGGCCAAGGCTGGTACCCGCCTGCCAGTGCAGCCCTGACCGCGCACGGCCACCCTGGGGTGTGAGGGATGGAGGTGATGGTCCGTCCTTTGCTGCAGCTCATTTCAAGGCAGGTCCACGGCTGAGGGTGACTCTGCTCTGCCTTTTCTCTGCGTGGAAAGTGGATCCGGCGCTCGCCGGAGGGGATTCGGATGTGGTTACCGTGCCGCACGCGGTGCCTTTGCTCCTCCGTGCGCACTGGACCCTTGGCGAGCAAACCAGCAGGAGTTATGCTGGTGTTACTGGGCGCCCCGAGCTCCCCTGAACTCTCTCCCTGGTAGTTTCTCCTCCCAGGTCTGAGAGCTGCGGGGAAGCCGGGGCCGTGCCCCAGACAGCAGCAGTGCGTAGGAGCAGTCCTCGGGCAAATTATAGGGTTCCCACCCATGAGTCAAACCTGGATTTCAGGCTAGCTGTGAGAGCCATTGTCTCAGCTTGCTGGGGAGCCGCAGCGTACCTCTCCTGCTGAAAAGACAGATTATGGCTCTGGGGAGACACCTCAAGTGATGGTTCCCCCCCCCCCCCCCCCAGGGAGTGTGTAAGAAGTGATGCTGGCTGCCACGGTGCTGCCACGTGCTGTATTCCCTGCATCTGCCCTCATCATGGGCCAAACTCTTGTCTTCAGCTCCGCGTGGCCATATAGGAGAGCTGAGGTGTAAGGAGGTTGAATTCCCACGGGGAAGGCAGAGGTTTTTGGGTCACTCAGACCTGCCACCCCCTCCCCGGTGCACACCGGCGATGCCACAGCCAGTGCTCACCCCGCAGCATCCTCTTTGGAAGCAATTCCCTGCCTGGGAGCTGCTCCTCTGTTAATCCCAGCCCGTGCTGACCTGCCGATGGGCACCGGTGCTGCCCGTCCTCCGGCCCCACGGCCGCAGACCCCGCTCCGGGGATGGAGGGGGGGGAATCTCTGTGCTGGGCTGTGGACCTTTTGGAGTTCATAACTAAGATTTACTTCAAAGGCCGGTTGCCTTTAGTGTCGGTCGGTTGTATAGTCCTGGCTTGTTTAGAGACGGCGAGCAAACGGAAAGCCAGGCCATTGAAAAAGGGGAAGGGTGTGGGAGCTGTCTTGCTATTTACCTGTGTGACCGGGAGGAAAACCTGCTTGTCATTCTTCCTAATAAATACAAACTGGAAGCACGGATAAACTCATGGGGATTTATTAGTTTGCTTTACCAAATGCAAATATTAAAACTAGTTGGTTCGGCGCAAGGGCTGCCTTTTGCCTTTTGTGTGCACTGCAGCGTCTGGCGCCTACGGGTGCTGATAAGGGTGTGCTCTGTGCTTAGCCAGTTATGCTCAAGGAATTTCTTTCCAACTGCTTCTGGCTCCTTTCTGCTCAGGCCTGATCCGGTGAGGGGGCTGAGCACCTGGCAGGGATGCGGGCTGTAGTCCTGCTCCAGCCCTGACCTCCCGCACCTCCCCGTGCAGGGCGAGCTCCCCGCCGGCGCTCCCCGACCCGCCGTGTGCCCTGGGACAGTTTTTTCAGCCCGTGTTTGGATTTTTAGAGCCAACCCGGAGCAGGCAAAAGCCCCCCGTGCTGATTGGAACTGCAAAGGGTAACACACAGTCCTGCCCTATTGCTTATGGCCCTTTTTACCCCGGCGTTGAAAGCAGCAAGAAGAGCTGCTGATCCAGCTTGGCTTGTACCTGCAGTTACACAAGTCCAGCTTTAAAGAGCCCCTTTTTTGCTACCCTAGTGCCAAATTACTGCTGGTTTCCTCTCCCCATCTGTCCCCTTCCCAGCACCTGCTTCACTTCTGCTCATCCTGAGCATTGCTCAGAGCACATTTACAGCTGCCTCCAGCCCTGGGTGCACCAGGGGCAGGGGGGGCTTTGCAGCTACCTCCTGCACCAGCAAAACCCCCCAATCTGCAGCTCAGTTATTCCCCGCAGGATAAGCCCCACGCCCGAGCCAGCTCCATCTCCAGAAAAGAGCTTCCACGATCACACCAGGTGGGGACCAAGGTGCAGATGGTGTTGGCTCAGGGCAGGGATGTGCCCCACGCCTTGGGGTACCGAGGCTGGCAGTGATATCACTGGGGACAGACAGACATGAGCGATGGCCTGAGGAAGCTGGGTTTGTTTTTTCCTTGGGTTGCTAATGTGGGGACCCTATTCTGGAGAAGGCTCAGCAGGTGGAAGGCCCCTCACTTGCTTTCATCCTACTGCTTGGGAAAAAGGGGAGGGAGCAGAGACCAGCTGGGATGAGGAAGGTTCGGGGACAGTGGCTGGTTAATTTTGTTTGCTTCACATTGAGTAAATACAAAATTAGAAGCCAGGAGTCATTGCAGAGAAGAGGAGGAGGAGGAGGAAGAGAAAGAAGCCAGGTGAGCAGCCAGTTGGGGGAGCACAAGCCATCCCCAGCCATCCCCCCCCACTTTCAGTTTTCCATTCTCATCCCTATCTCTGTCCCATTTCATCTGTCCCTGCATCATCTGGTGTGTGTTTACAGGCAGTTAGAGATGCTCATCTAGATGTTGTTTTTCCTCCAGGGCTCGTAAAACCCATCTGCTGGAGCTCCCAGCCAGCTCGGGGGGAATTTCCAGGCTCTGCTTGGGTCTGGGAGCCGCTGTGTGTGGATTTGGAGGCTGCGCGCGCTTCGTTCCCGCGTTTGTTTTGACAGCTTAGCAGTGTCGGGCGGCGGCCGCAGGTGCGGGCAGGATGTGTCCCACCCGAGATGCTGCAGGGACACGCGGACAGGGACCCAGCGCCACCCTGAGCAAAGTGCTCAGAGGCTTCTAGCAAACCCCGTCATGGTCGGGGTGCGGGTGGTTGGGCTTTTCTGCGGTTTTCCCCGTTTCTCAAGTTTTTCAGATTTTTCTTGCCTGCCTCCCCCTGAAATAGCGAGCCGCTCACAGAACGTCAGAACTCTGCACTGCAGTGGCTGGAAAGAATGGTTTTAATTTAGCTCTCCAAGTGAGAGTGTGAGACGTGGACCCTTCCCTCGAGCAGTTCACCTGGGGAGCTCGGGGCTTCTCTGCGAACAGGGAGCCAAGCTCCAGCCTCCTCGGGGACGCTGGCCCCAAGCACCGAGGGGAGGTGACCCAGGGCTCTTCCTTTCCCATCCCACAGTTTGCCTGAGGTCCTGGACCACTGATCCTCCGTGATGATGCCCCAGCCAGCAGACCCTCCAGCACTATCCCCGGGGTGGGGGGGGAAAATGAAAGCATTTCAACCTCTCAGTTGATCAGCCAAGTCCACCGTGGCCGTGGTTGGAGCTGGAGGAACCCAATGACACCGCTGCGCCCCTCAGCCTGTCAGCAACCTCCAGCAACGCTGATGTTAAGCTGTACACGTTGAGCCATTTGAACGCTGCTTTTTGGGCAGGACTGGGGTGCTGCTGGACCCACCATCCCCCCCAGGCTGCTGCTGAGCCTGGGCCAGGTTGTTTCTCCATGGAAGTCTTTCACCACATCCACTTGCAGGTGGTTTCTGCAGCTCTAACAAGCCTGTTAATGCTTGGGTTTTGATTTTTATTCCCCCCCCCCCCCCCCCCCCCCCCAAAACGTAAGGATAGAAGAGGTTGGGAATGCTCACCCCAGTCCCACTGAATCGTCCCCTCTCTGTCCTGGTCTAACAGGTTACACCTTCAGCAAAAGCCTCCAGAGCTCTTTGAGGGGGTGTTAGTTCTCAGCCACTTTCCCATCAGTCACCATCTAAAAAACTACTATTTTTTTTATTTGTTAAAGAGGGTGTGGGTGTTACCTCCCTATCAGAAAATTAGGATTTAAAGGCCAGATCCAAAGCCTGTTAAAGTGAAGGGAAACCTCTCCATTAACTCATTTGGGGTCAGGCCAGAACCTTTTCTGTCTTTCCTCCCATGTGTCTTTTCCTCCCCGTCTGCCTTTGTGCAGACACCACCCTCTCTGGCCATGGGTTCCCAGCAGCTGGCACTGCTCGGGGGCACCTGAGCCACTTTTCACTTCTGTATATTTTACAGTCCCTCCGACTCTCCCCCCTTTCCCCTGAAGTCACTGCCCATCTGTACCGGCCAGGGAAGGCAGGCAGCTGCCCTTTCAATGGAGGAGGGACGAGACAAGGGGTCTGGGGTCTTTTC